CCAGTGTATTGTTTCTTGAGAGTAATAAGCCACTGTTTGTGTTGCAGGACACTGAATCTTAGGTTTTGGTCCTAGGTATCTTACCTTCTTTATTTAAGGGTTTTCTTACAACATATTGGTGGACATTGTTTTTAGAGAGACTGAAAAGTTTTTGGATTCTGCTAGCTCTCTTAGGCCCCAGGCGATAAGGCATTGCGGTATCAGTAATTTGTGGAATATCCTTCTCTCTCTTTTTTCTAACAATAACCAAATTGAGAATGCTCAGATTGGCATCCACAATGCAGCTCTGAACAGATGTGTGCTTTCTTTCTCCAGCTCTCCTTGGTCTGTAACAGGAATGTCCCTTACTCAGTAGCAGGCAGACACGGCCGTGGGTCAAGAAACCTCGCTTCATGGAGAAACCTTGTTTGTAATTTCCACCACTGATTCAGACAACATAACTCTTCCATTCTTCATCCAAAGCATCAGCAGCAACTTTAGCAACTTCTATGCTTCTCGTAAAAATTATGAAGTTTGCATTCATTGTCCACTTCAATGAGTTTCTGGCAGACAGCGTCAGGGAAGGAGATATTCAGCTTCATTTTGAAGCAGCTGACTTCCTCTGAGTCGCCACGAAAAGAGTTGTAAACCCATATTTTGAGGAACATAGTCTATTTAAAAAAAGAGAGAGGGAGAAGGAATTGACGTTTTTGCACCTACAACGTGCCTGCCATTGTGGTAGGCACTTTGCATAAACTATCTCATCAATCTTTTCAATAGTCTTGAGCGGCAGATTAAAGAATGCAGGCTCAGAAAGTTTAAGCAACTCTTCCAAGGTTATAGAAAAAAACAGGCTACAGGAAAGTGATATGAATTCACACCTGTCAGGTTCCGAAGTTCGTGTTTGCCTTTATTTAACCATGGCACCTTGCAAACCTGCAAAGTTTGAATAAACATCCCCTGCCTGCACTCTGCTCCCTGCCAGTGTGGGTGCATTGTGCTCTGTGAATATGGGGAGCGCATGGTCTGACGTGTCTCCTGGGCAGCAGCCGTAAACTGTCCCTGAGAAGTCTTATAAAAATCAGTCTGGCTTTGCGCCTTCCTCATTACTGCACTCAGAATAATTATAGCAAAACTTTGTCTGTGGAAACTGACATCAAAGGTCATGACAAAGAGTATCTCTGGTGGGAACTATGATTATCCCCATTTTATGGCTGGAGAAACTGAGGAATGGATTTGTTAAGTGGCTTGCCCAAGGTTGGCTGGTGAGTCAGGGACTGAGTCTCTATCTATTGGATGCCCAGGCTTCATGCAACCTCTCGCACCATCATTCTGCTCTTGGCCCCAAACACTTGCTCTGTTCATTAGACTAATATAAGGGATTAAATCCAGCCAGATCATAGCATCTGTATCATTGTGAGCTCCATAGGAAAGAAGACTCTGTGTCTCTGGGAACTAGGTCAGCAGACAGTGTTTTGAGGAAGCTTCCAGAGTAGGAATGTTGGGAATAAAATTACATCAGCATGAGACGTTCTCAGCAGTCATGTTCATCTCCCCAAGACGTTCAACTTGCTGGTCATGTGGGAGGTGTAGTCCATTTTGCCTTTGACTAACACTTCACTTTTAAAGCACGGTGAGCTGCATGCCATCATGTAGTGAGCAAGAGGCTAATGGGAAGATGGAGCTGGTTTATGGTTTGCGTGAAGTTGTATTTTGTGTAGCTGAGCATTAATGAGGCACGTATATTTCAAGTGTCTTAATGTGTTTTAATTGATGCAGACATCTAAAGTCTTGGTCTCAGGATAAGTTAAATGACTGAGATTTTCTTTGAGACTCAAAGTTCTATACAATCTACTTGCTGATGGTGCAGTGGTAACCCCAGAGTCCATGATATTCAGCCATATTCACATGGTAAGGTCCTGACTTTGTGACATGAGGCCTGTGCATGTCAGATGTGCCTGTCATCCTGGCTAGCTGAGACTGGAGGTTGGATTGTGGTGTGAAGACCCTACTAGGGATTCATTTCTTTTTTTCTGTTTCTTCCTATTTCTCTTCTCCTAGGTTCCCTTATTTCCCTCTCTTATTAACAAACAAACTAACTTAAAAAATTCTACATGCTAAGATTCTATTTTCAGATGGGGAGGAAGGAGGTTAGGAGAATTACTCTCATGCCAGTAAAAAAAAAAAAAAAAAAAAAAAAAAAAAAAAACCCCCTCTCCCCCCTGGTCACCGGGGCACAAA